AATAAATTTATAATGATGGTAAGGAAAAAAATCACAAATGCATTTTCTCTTCTTTCCCTTGTTTTTATTTTCTTATTTTTTTGTATAGCTAGTCATTGCTTAATACTATTCTTATCACAGAAAAAATGAGATAGGATAGATGAACACAAATATTTGTTCCCTAAATTTAGTTATTTACTCTTTTTTTCCTCTTTTTTTTCTTTATGTGATAGAATAATACAACATGAAAATAAGGGAAGAAAAACACTTAACAACGCATTATGGGAAGGCTTTCTTGAAAGTATATTTTTCTGCCAAGCAATATTTACCTAAACAGAAAACATGGGCTAATTAGTGGCTAATTTTGCCAAACTTTCACTAAAATCATTCTCCCATTGCCAGTGAAGAAATATTTTAACATCTACTACACTCATCAGTTGTGCTTGGTCATCCCTAGTTACTCCTAAGTGATATTTTAGTAGTGTTGAACGTTGTTCATAATAAAGAAAGGGAAATTTTTAAAACAAGCAAAGGCAAAATAATAGCAATAGAAGTGCAGCGCTAAGGTAACCGAAAACAAATGAACATATGATAATATGGATAATTATCCCTTCTCCAGTCCAAAGAGCATACATACATAAAAAAGTTCAAATAATGGCGTAAACCAGATAAATTGACTTTTGTGCTTTGGTAACTGTACAGTCCGGTGTCAGTGTAATAATGGTGAAGGTAATGCACACTCACCGGACGCGCATGTTATATGAGCTTTGTGTATATAATCCAGGTGTCTTCAGATAGTGGGTGATCTTCCCTCTAAAGTTAGATAATGTGAAGCTGGCGTAGGTGGTCCTCGTCCTCTATGGGTCCCCCTATCATCCAGGTGGGTAATATCCCTCTGAGTGGGCAGACTTTCCCTGTGCAGCAATGGTGTTTCCAAGGTGGGTCTGTGGGCTAAAGCACTCCCCCAGGGGGCAACAGAGATACTCCCATAGTGTAGTAGGTGTTAAAATACTTTATTGTGATGCATCAAGGTAAGATACCAAAAGATTGCAGACAGAGATCAGTGAAGACTAACCGTCTGGTAAAGTAAGATGGCCGCCAGAGCTCCCCGACCCCCCTCTGAGGACGTGCTTGAGCATCAGGAGGAGCCACATCACGCCGTGATGTCACGCCGCCGGAGCAACGTGGAGCTCCGGCGGCCATCTTACTTTACCAGACGGTTAGTCTTCACTGATCTCTGTCTGCAAGCTTTTGGTATCTTATCTTACACAAAGCGCATATAACATGCGCATCCGGTGAGTGCGCATTACCTTCACCATTATTACACTGACACCGGACTGTACAGTTACCAAAGCACAAAAGTCACTTTATCTGGTTTACACCATTATTTGAACTTTTGTATGTACTGTATGTATGCTCTTTGGACTGGAGAAGGGATAATTATCCATATTATCATATGTTCATTTGTTTTCAGTTACCTTAGCGCTGCACTTCTTTGTATATATGATTATTCTAGGGTGATATTGGTTTCCTTTTTGTGCATAGCAGCTTCTATCTATATCAAGGCACTCACACTCTTATTCTACACAAAATAATAGCAATGTTTGTGCTTTTTTTCATTTTATGAGTGATATCTTCAAAGTTTTCACATAACCATTTCAGCATATGGAGGGGGTTAAGCTCTCTAACAAAGACACAAATGGTAATAAAAAAAAAACTGACTAAAAAAAATAAACTGAAAAAAGAAGGTTTTACTTTAAATACACTTTAAGGCTCAGACTATCTAAAGCTTGCTGCATAAGCAATAGTATGTATAATTTTCAGCCTTGGAGAAACTTCCAAGTAAAACCAGTCAATGAACTAGGGATGAGCAACATTAAGGTGTTTTGGGTTCAGAGGGCTTTAATAGCTATCTGGGAGAGGGGTAAGGGGGGCATTAATGGGTATCTGGGGAAGGGGGAAAGGGTAGTAAAGCTAATTTAAACAATCCTGGACCTTGTGCTTATTTTAACATTTGTGTAAAAAAAATTGGTATAGCAGCAAAAAGTTAAAAGTAGATCTTTTTTTTTTTGCCAGCATATAAATGAAAGTCATGGTGGCTTTAGGTCTTTAAATTGTTCACTTTTGACTGGAACGTCCATTTATATTTTTAAATTGTCAGACTTCAAAGGCACAGAGGCAGTGGCAAATCAATATGGGTTATAGAGGGCACAGTTGCTCTTAATCTTACATTCTTGAGCTATCGCCCCTATAGTGCATTGTTGTGAAGGTCTTGAAAGCCTCAAAACATCAGCAATAAATATATGTACTGTATTTATTAAGTTTTGATGTCTTATGGCATGTACGTTGCATTGTTTTTGTACCAGGGCCATCTAAAGACTTTGTGTGCTGCTACTTGTAGCTTTTACAATAATATTGTGCAAAATAGGTAATAGCGCTAGGAGTCTTTTTTTTTTTTTTTTTTTTGTCCAGGGCTTTTGTCTCTGAGATGAAGAAAACATTTTAACACTCTCTAACTGTCCCTGACTTGTATGGTGTTCCTAACACTAAAGCATCCCTTAATAATTGACTCCCCCCATATGAACCAGTAATAATTAACTTCATCTCACAAATGTTTAGATGTACATGAAAAATCAGTGATGGATTTACAATCGGTTGGACCAGGTGGTAGCTGGTGGCCCCAGAATTCAGAGGGGCATGCCTGTCTTATCTAACATTGATGTAGGCAGTGGAGCCTGCAAATGGCCCCCTCTGTTCTATTAGGACATTTGTTTGTAGCCACTGTCCCCACTGCCCATTTGATTCGATAAAGCGATGGCAGTAAGGAATTTTTTTAATGGCTGGCATTGACCATCACCGTGAGGGAATGGCCACAACTTTTTATTTTTTTACTTTTGGTTAGTGTGAGAGGGAACTGATTTTGTTTTATTTTTTCCAAGTATGGGACTTTAAGACTTTCCTTCATTTTACTGTCCCAGTGACAACAGGTTTGCTAGACAAGAAATCTGCAACAGCAACAAAGAGAGAGAAAATAATGCATTTAGTAGAGTAGGGAAAAGGCTGGAACTGTCAGTTTTTATTGCTAAATATGAGAACAAATGGCGCTGATTTCAGACTTTCTAAAGGTCACAGAAATTGCTAGCACTCCATAAAACGGGGGCAACCCCTAGAAACAGAGAGAAAAAAATGAAGTTGAGAATCAGCAGGTCCAATGAAAGAACCAAACACCCAACAATCTGAAGTTTTTTATTATAAAATTGATTCATAGCAGAAAAAAGTCAGTGAGTTCAAGGTCAAAACACACTCTTCCTTTATCAGGGCTACAAAACCAGTACAAATATAAAGGCAAAAATGTTAAAATAAAAGTTCATGAATATATAAATTAGTATGCAAGTAAAAAGCAATTCATATCAAAATCAAAGGCTGTTTAACCATTTGCATATTATATCTGATAAAATATAATTACTGGTATCAGATATTGTATGCAAATGGATATATCTTTTGAATTTTATAGTCATCATTTTTACTAGCACACTCATTTTCATATTCATGACCATTTGTTTTTATATTTATAGATTTTATATATAGCTACCTATTTGGTATCCTGATGAAGGGAGAGTGTGTTTGGCCCCCGAATTGGGTTGGCCTTTTTTTCTGCTATGAATCAATTTTTTCATTAAAAACCTTGATAAGGCAGGTGTGGATGTTGGCTGCTAATTCTTGCCTAGTGTCAAAACAGGTAAAATAGACTTTTTTCACCTCTTAGACCTCATGTTCCCCTGTTGCTTTCCTCCTTCCTCTGCAGCCCACTCCTCAAAATCTCCCTCTCTTTTGCTTTAAAGGAGTTTCAATATTTTAGGAGCACATCTCTGTCCTCAGTAGCAGAAACTGGGGCCCGGGTTCCTATTTCAAAGCACTACTTTAATCACCAGGACCTAGAATTCTGTTTTGCCAGGCTGAAGGATTCCTACAAAAATGAGCTAAGTAACTCCAAGCCAGAAGTAAACGAGGGGGGGGGGGCAACAGGGGAATTTAGAGAGTACAATAAGCATTATAAATGAATGCCTGGACACACAGAAAATGGCTTTGAGGCTAGGTTCACACTGATGCGGTGTGGAATTTGCAGCATTTCCTGTGCAAATTCCACACTGCATCAGAATCGCACCCCGTTCATGGGAACTGATGCCGGTGTGTAAAGTTTACAACCCTCCGAAAACAGTCAGCAAAATGTGGTGCAATATGCTCAAATCGCACCACCCCTGCACCAAGAAGGTGCAGGAATCTTTTTTGGGTCCGCACTAGACTCAGATTGAATGGGTAGCCACACCTATGTGATCTGATTCTAGTGCGGACCCAAAAAAGATTATTGCACCTGTTTGGTGCGGTGCGATTTGAGCCATACATAATTTATAGCTCAAATTGCATGTGATTTGCACAGGAATGTGGTGTGGTTCCTGTGCGAATCACATGCGATGTACCATTAGTGTGAACCCAGCCTTTAACCACTAGCCTACAGGGCACTTATACCCCCTTCCTGCCCAGCCAATTTCCAGCTCCCAGCGCTGTTGCACTTTGAATGACAATTGCGTGGTCATGCAACACTGTACCCATATGAAATTTTTATCATTTTTTTTGTGACAGATAGAGCTTTATTTTGATGGTATTTAATCACCTCTGGGATTTTTATTTTTTCTTAAACAAACCAAAAACCACTGAAAATTGTGGAAAAAAAAACGTTTTTTCTTAGTTTTTGTTGTAAAATTTTGTAAATAAGTGATTTTTCTCCTTCACTGATGTGCGCTAATGAGGCTGCACTGATGGGCACTGATAGGCTGCACTGATGGACACTGATAGGTGGCACTGATGGGCACTGATGAGGAGGCACTGGTAGGTGGCACTGATAGGCATTGAAAGGCATCAGTGATGGGCACTGAAAAGCAGCATTGATATATGGCACTGATAGGCGGCACTGACTGGCACTGTTAGGTGGCACTGACTGGCACTGTTAGGTGGCACTGACAGCACTGTTAGGCGGCACTGACAGGCACTGATAGGCGGCACTGACAGGCACTGATAGGCGGCACTGATGCACGCTGATTGGCAGCACTTACTGGCACTGATAGGCGGCACTGATTGGCGGCACTGATAGGTGGCACTCACTGGCACTGATGGGTGACACTGAAAGGCAGCTCAGATGGGTACTGATATGTGGTATTGATGTGCACTGGTAGGCACTGATATGTGGCACTGATGGGCACTGGCACGTGGCACTGTTCAGCACTGACAGCTGGCACTGATGGACACTGACAGGTGGCACTTCTGGGGCCACACTGATCATCAGGGTACCGATGATCAGTGTACATGTCCCCTCCAGGAATGCCAATTACCGGCTCTCCTCTCCTCTCGAGCTGTCAGCCTGACAGCTCGTGAGGAGAGAAATGCCGATACCCGGCATTTCCCTGTTTACATGTGATTAGCTGTGATTGGACACAGCTGATCACATGACCAAGCCGCCGATCGCCGCGCGCTCCCTGAGCCGCGCATGCGTGGTGAGAATGGGAGGACGTCATATGACATCCTCCCAGAACGAGAGAACCACCTTGCGCCCGTCATTGGACTATATGGCGGGCGGGAGGTGGTTAAAGACATTGTATAATTTACGGCTCCATGCACACTGGCTTAAAAATTGCTGCTTCTACAGGAGTTTTGTGTTTTGCCCATAGAAGCAGCTCAATGTTATCCACATTAGGACGATCAAGGCATATTTTAAGCTCTACATTTAGAGGCAAGAAATAAAACCCTTGAGGTTTGTGTTTTTGATTGGCGCTTTCTGGCAGAAAAAATGCTAAACTCCCCTAAACTGTATACAAACTCGCCTAAACTGTGAACATAGACACTCTATACTAGGCAGGTGTTTTTTTTGCCAATGGAACTGGCATTTTTTTAAGCCCAGTGAGCATGGAGTCTCAAATGTTTTTTGTTGTTCTAGCTAGGCATAAGTGTAGTTATATAACCTGTGCTGTTTGTTTGTCTTTCCTTGTAATGATGAGCTCACGTGTTGCAGTTTGTAGTATCATGGCTGGTTGATTCCCCCATTTCCATGCAGTAATCCACTTAACTTGTGCTTGTTCACCAGAGGGACAAGCAACTTCTTGTTCCAGGTCACATGCATGACAGGCCATTTCTCTGTGTTGCATTACAAATGCATGCTAATTTTATGAAACCAATACATCTCTTTCACCTTGATAAACCCTGTTAATTGCTTTCACCTGCATCAGCACTTGGCTCAGAATCCCAGGGATTATGGGTTATTTAATTTCTTCACAATAAGCAAAGATTCTTAGACTACAGACAAAGTTCATGAGTTAACCAGTACAGTGCAGTGCCATGCCTCATGTTTAAAAAACATAGATTGCTGAAACCAGAATGCAATGATTTATTCTACTATAATCTGTACGTACAGGGCAAAAGATTACACCAAGAAACTACATGATCATTGTACATTTTAGGTGAAAAAACATGAGGAGCAGGTAGGAAGGTTTACAATACCTTAAAGGATCATACATTACAATTGCATTATCTCCCATATAAAAATTATAACAGAAAATCCAAATGGGTGGATAGTTTACATCTGCTGGGTTTCTAAAACTGTTGACACACCACAAAATATCAAAGCAGTCAGAACCATAATTATTAACTTATTGGATAAGCAAATAGACTCAGTCACTACTACAGACAGAGCTCATTGGCCCTGGGCCCCAACAATCCAAATGAACAGACACTCCATGATATCATCTAATGAATACATTTTAATTCGCAAAAATGAGCTATCAGGGCAGCTGCTCGGTCTCAGACAAACAATTGTGGGGGCTACTGTCACTCTAGTACTAGATTTATCATGACAGACACATTTCTTCCTTGTCTGGAAGTTCTGAAAAATTACAAAATCAAATATTATTGGGGGTACTTATTCCAGATTTACAACTCAAGGGATGGAAAATCATCCATATTTAAAGCCTTGGGTGACCAACCCCAACTTTATGGGAACTCTAGATTGGCCCATCCAACCAGTCTTTCCAGGGCTACCTCAAATCTCCAGATGGGCAACTCTGGGCTCTGTTTTAGAATACACCTTCCATCTACACCCATATTCTCAATTTACTTCTAAACTATTTAATTTAATGTTAACCTGGCCATCCAGTGACCACATGAATGCTGACCCTTGAGTTTTCACAATTTGATACTACTTTGTAGAAACACTCTTGGAGGAACTCCCCTTAAACCCCTCACTCCCAAGGCACTTTAGACTGCTCCATGAGCTATCTAGGGATCTTGGACTACAGGTTCGAATCATCCAAGTGGCCAGCTCTATCAGTGCAGGAACTGCTGCAGAACTATTAACATGATAACCCTTATCTAAGATGTCACTCAAGACTCAAGATGTTTCCCACATGGGCCTTATGTCCCCCACCACCACATCTGACTACCAAGTCACTACTAATAACACAATGCTTTTTCTAATTATTCTTATGTAGTTACAATTTACACGATTTTGTATAGGCTTAAAGTGGACCTCTGGCAAAAAAAATTAAAGTATTACTCATTCTGTTCCTCCCCGTAGTCTGTAACTAATTTGCCACTCTTTTGGATAAGGGGGGAAAGGGATGGCTGAAAGACCAATCTCACAGTATTACCATGTTTCAGGCGTCAGGGAATTATAGCCAGTTTCCATATATCTTTATAAAATTCAGGCTCTTGCAGAAAAAATTCTCTGCATCTAATGTGTATTCTCCCAACCAGGGCAGTATTCAGATCCAGATCTGTTGGAATACAATGATTTATGTATTTTTGAACAACTACATCAGCATCAGTGTTCAGTAGAGATATATTCTTCATCCAGTAGAAGACCGTGTTTATACATTTGTAGCTGCATTAATGATTATACTCTGTTGTCTTCCTGAATAAAGTTCCTGTTTGCACAGAGAAGCTGCAGATAAAACACATAAGTGTTCCAATTGCCGTCTAGACTGTCCAGGGGATTCCCTCCACCTTATATGGCTCAGAAAAATAGGCAGTACCAGGGAGGCAATAATTGTCTGTAAAACTGTAGATGGACTGTGGATTGTCTGTTCTGTAGGGCTTTATACAGACATCTCTAACAAGATCCTCAATAGTGATGATAGTGACTGGAGACTTCAAACTACCCTTTGGTTTGATCATGGGTAGGCCATCCCTCTTAAAAGTGTTAAGCCTGCATGCATAGACAGATGATCTTCTTGATTGCTGGTGAATATTACACCCTACAGCAGCTACGAGTCTGCATGCCAAGACTTTAGTTATTCCTCAGCAGGCCACAGCACATATGGCTATACAGACTATCTCTGAATAAATTACTCAAAACTAGACCTCTCACTAGAGGTCTATATAGGCCTTTGGTCCGACCATGCACCAGTCATTCTCTCTTTACAAATGGAGAGAAAAGATTGTATTGCTTACAAAGCCAATTCATGCTGGGAACTTGACCTCAGTGTCTGTCGGACAGATGCTGCATCCACCTAGGTAAGTGTAATTTGGAAAAAAAAAAAACAGAACCCAAACTTTTCTTTTATCAACTAGCTGGTTGCCAAGGAGCAGGCTGGTAACCCAGCCACTGTGTCCTTAACAATGGACGAGTCATCAGCTATCAATGGCGTTTTCCCACTGACAACTGAATATAAACAAAACAATTGCTGACAATGAAAACATCAGAAAAAAAAACAGTGTGGGAGTTAGCCCCCAATTCATACCACGCCCTCTGATCTGGATCAGATTTTAGGGGAACTCCATGCCAAATTCTTTTTAATGGGGTGTCCCCTCTCGATCCATATCATGCCCTTAGGTCTGGTATGGATTTTGAGGGAAACCCCATACCAACATTTTTTTAAAAATGGTGTGGGGGTCCCCAAAAAACCTATAACAGACCCTTATCTGAACATGCAGGACAGGAATGGGGGGACAAGCCAGCACCCTCTCCTAAACCGTACCAGGCTGCACACCCTCAACATGGGGGGTGCTTTAGGTGCCCCCAAAGCACCTCTTCCCCACAAACCTGGGCGGTGGTTATCGGGATCTGTAGGCAGGGGGCTTTAACAAGGGTGCCTCCAGATCCCACCCCACCCCCATGTGAATGAGTATGGGGTACATTGTATAAAAAACTGTCAAAAATCAATAAAAACACAATGTCTCCAGAAGTAAATAAAGCATCAATCACAATGAAGGCCGTCACACTCCCAGAAACAAAAGAAAGGTCTGCACCCGATGCTTGCTGCTGCCATCCAACAGCTCCTCTGCCTCCAGCAGCTATATAGACTAAAGGGCTTATTTTCAGTAATAATCTTTGGGCAGACTGGGGTGGGGGCATCAGGGGGAGCCGGGGTAATTGGCTGGTGCAAAGTGGAGCATCTGCTATATCTATGGCTGCAACTTTGTGAGGAGGGGCTGAATGTTGATCAGTTCAACATGCATAAGTTCAGAGTCATTATCTCCTGCATAGCTGCTAACATGGGAATATAGGTAGGAGGCTTGGTTAGATAACTGGGTGTCACTACATGGATTGTAGTGTGGGAATAAAGGAAGCACCATCATTGCTGTCAGTAGCAGTAATGGTGTCCACCAGCACAGGTGTAAGCGACCACAATAATCTCCCCAACATTGGTGGTCAGTGGTAGTAATGTTGAACCCCCCAACATTGGTGCTCAGTAGCAAGGTGTAAAAATTAACCCCCCCCCCCCCCCTCTACCCATTACCAGCATTGGGCCCACTCCCCCTTCCCCCAGCATTAGTGTTCAGTGGTTTACTTAACTTAAGCCTACGTGCTGCTGATCTTACCTGTTCACTGGAACTTTGCTTCTACTGTTGGGAAAAGAGCATTCCAGCACCCAGCATACTACTAGGCAGGGGCGGACTGACAACTCATGAGGCCCCCGGGCAATAGGGGATCATGGGGCCCCTGTGTCCTTGCCCAAACTCAAAAAAGCCTATGAAAAAGGTACCAGGGGCATCTCATGGGGCCCCTACTGACCCCGGGCCCTCGGGCAGTGCCCCAGTTTCCAAATGGTTAGTCCGCCCCTGCTACTGGGGCTAGTAGTTTAACAATGGTTGAAGTGTCCATGGATTTATTTCAGTGCAGCAGGAGCCAATGGCAATACTGCTGATATAAAACTTAATTAAACTTAAGCTGCAGTGAAAGGGTTAATGAAGCTCCAAAAACTGTTTTCAATACTTTTAAATCTGTATTTTTCATGAAAATAATAGTTGATGCTGTTGTCATGAAGGACTTCTTATTGTTATGGGGTAATGATGGTTTCCCGATTGCGCCTCTGATTGTCGATCTGGCACATGTGCCCCCCGCCCCCAGCAGAGACTGCAAAATTCGATGCTGACACTCATTGTTCTGGCAGGGTCCATCATTGTCAGAAGGGAGCTCCAAACCAATAATACTTAAAAGTCTCTAAGACCATTACTCTAAGGGCTCGTTTACAC